AGAAATAAATATTAGGTAATAACGTGACCTTAGATTATATAGATTGAGCATCACGCCTCAAATACGGGTCAACTTTTTGTTAGCTAATTGTCAAATTAGATGACTTTTTTTTATTAATTATCTATATACTGACATGCATAATGTACGTGACGTATCTATATTTAATTATTTAATAAATAAAATAAGTTTTAGCGCATTAAAAAGGTGCAAAATTTATAAGACAAAATAAATATAGAAGTTATAAAGGCAGTCTCAAAAACGAGTCAGCTAATTGTCAAATTAGTTACCTTGTTTTTTTATCAGTATACTTATGCATATAATTTATTTATATTTAATAAATAAAATGAGTTTTTACACGTTAAAAGGATGCAAAAAATATAAAACAAAATAAATGATGAAATTATAAGACGAAACGTTCATAACTATTTATCACGCAAAATTGTGTGAAAAAGTTGACTCGCTTTTCTCAAAGCATTTGTATAGAGACACTATCTATATAATCTAAGAACGTGACTTAAAATAGTTCACCACTATTTCCAATATTGATGTTTACGATTTCCAAGACCGATCACTATTAGTACAGGTTCTATGATATTTTCCATTCGCAAACATTCACTGTACTTTTAATTATATTATCAAAAATTAAAGAGTAATTCACTATGTTTTATACATATCAGTAGATTGTTTTAACCTCAGAACAGAAACCTTCACGGTAGCCTATAAGGTAAGATCGAGTGCCAATGGCCTAATTTCTATATCTTTAGTTTTTTTACGTTCTTGTCGTATATTTATCGCCATTAAATGCTTACATATTCCTCACACACCTGTGGTACGGTTTATATGAAGGAATCTTTTCTTTGTTTAGCATCGGGGATAGATTGTTTAACTTCTACCTAGTTCATTTGATACACACACAAAGATAGAACACGGATATCCAAGTTTCTACATCTCTACAAAATATTACAAGTGTATGTAAATCCATGCGTAAGAAAATTTATATTCCTAGTATTATTTCAGAGTGAATCCAGCCTGTAGGTATATTTTAATGTGTGTAATAGTATAAATAAATATTTCTACGAGTTTCACACCATATTTTCTTTAACACCTTGCTTAGTGTTGGCTTACTAATAAGCTACAAGCTTAGTATCATTAATATCAGTGTTTTGCTCTTTTAAGGGCAAAGCAATAAACTGAGCTGTGACCATTTTGTGTTACTATAGCACACGCATGAAGGAATGGTAACAAAGGAGATTGTTAGATTATATATTTTGTTTTTATATTTTTTTTTTATTTGTGCTTTTTTTATTTTTATTCTTTTGTCTCTTTTGCTGTGTATTACGTGTATGTTTTTTTTTATTGTAATTTGTGTGCTGTAAGTAATGTAAATAAATTATCTATATATCTATCTATCTATCTAGTAACAAAGATTATTAGGTCTTATTGTATTATTGTATTATCTTCTAGCACGGATAATATGATATTAGAAAAAGAAAATCAAAGTAAATATTAATATTTTATATAATTCAATAACACACATTGAATCTGCCCACTATTTTATTTATTAGATAAATATCTTGAATCAATCTATTTGATTCCCGAATTAATAAATAGAAAAATTCACAAGCAGTGCGCTGTGCACGCCCATAAATCTTCTAGAAATGTAAATACACTCATTTGATTGATGATGAAAACAGATAAACCAACTCATACACAGTACAAACGCTGGTATATATTATCAACACCTGACTTATATAATAACGTAAATATAAAATATAATTTTCATTTTAACACGGTTACAAGCGGCATTGAACCTTTAAATTTAACATGAATTTTGCCTTCTTGTGCGTGTTTTGTCGGTTACATTGATACTGTGTTCTGAGTAACTACATCGTATAGAGGAAAAAGGGATTGTTAGTAATGGAGTCTATGGCTCTATTGCTAGCAATTTACCCTATCAGGTTGATACCAAACAATTTCTCCTGGAAACCATCGTGATTAATTCTTGTGGAATTCGTCACGATGGGCATTCTCATCTATTAAAAATTATATAAAACTCAGGCATCTTTTATCATTCGATTAACCTCATCCTTATACTGTGGAACTTAAATTTTGTATAGGATCGTATATATATATATATATACACATATATACATATATATATATATATATATATATATATATATATATATATATATATATATATATATATATATATATATATATAATATATATATATAGCTTCAATGCGTGTTATTGAATTATATATATATTACTGGGTACAGACGAATAACATCTGAGTCCTCAGGAATGCAACGCATGGGAGGTATCATGGGCAAAACAGTATACTCTGTTATATCCATGGTACTGCTCATGTCTATAGGCGACGGCTACCACTTTCCATCAGTTGGGCCGTCAGCTTGTTTCCCATTCTAAGTTGTATAAATAAAAAAAAAAGAAATTCCTTCGGAAACAATATAGGTCGTAGTATAAGCTTCTTTCTGATATCTCACTTAAAACTATGGATATTGATAATAGTAGAAATTTTCTTGAACTCTTCCACAAGCGTTAATTATTATTTTATTTATTCACTAAAAAAAAAACAAACAGCTATTTATAAAAAAAATGTGCAGATGATAAATAAATTTTCAGTTCAGTTTCACAAGAGTGTTGCGAATACAAAGAAAAATGAGATTAACAATAAAATCTGTAAATAACAATTTTGTGCCAATAATAATCTATAAGGTAATTTTCTTAATATAAAAAATTTATTAATACCTATTGTGACAGGATTCATAGTTCAATACATTTTCAAAAGTATGCTTATGTTTGTTATCTCTTGCAATTAATAATTATTAACACAGTACTTGTGGGGGCAAAGGGATTGTTAGTAATGGATAAGATCCCATTGCTTCAATATATTATATACCAGGTCGATCAACTCCCTTATACGCGGTTAAATCCCTCTGGAAAAATGATAGTTTCAGAGGGAACCGCGATATCCATGGTATTAATTCCAGTGAATTCATCATGATGGGTTAACTGGCCTTTTTCATTCTCATCAATCACTCTTCACTGGTGCTCCGCCAGCGTATCCCGTTAGCGCAGGCGGGGATACCATACCATTTTCACCCATCAAAAAAAAAACACAGTACTTGTATAGCGATAGAGTTTTAATAATTAACAATTATGTCATACGAAACAAAATCCGCTTCAATTGTGATCAGTTATTAACTCGTTATTTTGATTTAAAAATTAAACTAATAAATCGATTTTGATAAAATTTCTAAGGTACTAATCTGTACATATATTCTTTGAGATAAAAAAGAAATTTCGAAATCAGTTTAAAACTGACGGAGTTATGATATAAAAAAAAATACACCTGCATTGAGAACCTCCTTTTTGAAATCAGTTAAAAAAAATTAAAGTCATTTCTCTTTACGGTCCTTATGATGTAGGTATTTTTTAATTGCAAGAATCTACCATTTGCTTTACACTCTAACCATTAAAGGAGTATAGATATTATTCTCTTTATTATTATTAACAAGAATAGCAAACTTATGGCAGTTAATCATTGGAGTAATTTTGTCAGTAGTTGTTACGCTTGACAAGTGGGTTGGCAAACGTATTTTGGCTTCTGAGGTACTTTTAGGAGGATCTCTGCTGCCCATTCCACGGCTATAAAATTTCCCTTAGTCGCCTCTTACGACACTCACGAGAAAGGAAGAGGTAGCCCTTTATATGTCGGCAATTATAAAATTATATTTACATAACAAAAACGGTAACGTAACGATCAAAGGTTAAGCCTCATACCGGTTTATCCTAAAAGTTTGGTATGTCGTAACGTAATTGTTTCCACTGTTGCTCAACCGAGTGAGATTCGTTGAGAATTATCCAATTTTACGTGTTTATCAAACAATTTGGTAGTCTAGATGTAGTCTAGTTCTTGCGTTTAGTTATGTGTTTAAACGCATTATACTTTTAATGTGGTGAATGAAAATTTTGATTGACGCCGTGTTTCAAAAACACGTTTGAAAATGTACACGCGTGTTTGCCAAATAAAACTCTAACGAAAGTTGTCTGTTGTACATTTTTATTGAACGAAAATATTACACGTGTGTGGTCATAATAAACAAATAATAGACATAGCCGTGTGGTTAAGACATGGAATGGGCCATCACTTCGTTTCCCGTGGGTGTCGTAAGAGACGACTAAGGGAACTTAATGGTCGAATGGTCAGCAGGAGCGTACCTCTTAAAACATCACCAAAGACTAACTGCGGTTACCAACCCGCTTGCTAAACGTGGCAATTCCTGGCAAAACTCCCCTTATAGGGAAGGCCTATATTCGGCAGTGGACAGTTATCGATTGATATGGTGAACATACATAGCTTTGATAAACTTGTCTCCTTACTTTGATGGCAACGTGATAAATAAATGAGACGTAAATTTTTAGAAAGATGTTTCATTTTCTATACGAATTTTTACATGCCTGCCAATTTGTGTATCTCGCCAATTCGAATCAATAGCGCAAGCGGGACTATCGTTCAGTTTTCATTTATTAATAAATTATCTTCTATTATCTTATCTTCTTTCTTATTTTATTTTTTATTCTTTCTAATTTTTTTATACAACTTAGAATGCCCAATAAGCTGATGGCCCACAGTACCATGGATATAACAGAGTATACAATTTCGCCCATGATACCCCCATGCGTTACCATTCCTGAGGACTCAGGTGTTATTCCTCTGTACCCTGTAAATTCACTGCCATATCCCAACCTTCAAATTGAAACACAGCCATGCAAACACTACTGGTTCATGGTAGAAACACGAATGGTTGGTCAATAAACAGAATTAGATAAGAAATACTAGATGGCGCTGGAATCGAGATGGAATTATGGTTTTTATTGATTATTGTGTAATTAAAGATAATTCATATCATAATATACATTTATAGGAAACTTCTTTTTTTAAACAAATTTGTCATGGTGATGTTGAGTAATTATTTCCATTGTTCCAGGATAAAGGCCCTGAACCGCCAGAACTTTTGCATCCAGTACAGTACGCAGGCAGGGCGCGTGAGCTGCAGGTCTACCCGCTTCCATTGGAAGAGTCAGACCACGAACTCAAACTAAATGTGACGTGGTTGCCCTCATTAGGTAAAATCTCAAAGAAATCTTTTAAACTATTTAAAAACAAGTGTTAATGAAAGAATCATCAAAATCAATAGTCTCCAGCAGTTATCATAATCAAAATCAAGGAAGTGCTCTTGTTTTTTGCTCGGCTCGCCTATCAGTACTCCGTTAATTGCCATTTTTATGAGCTTTACAAGTCAGTACCTTCACTACAATAATATAGTTAGCCATATTTTCTACAAAAATCGTCTGCAGAAACACGAGTGAAACAGAGATTGTTTTAAATGGTGAGAATGGAATGGTTACCCTAATAGATCGACCTCCACATGGTTCCCTTGAAAACCATCATGGTTTTTTTTGATAGGTGAAAATGGTTTGGTAACCCCGCCCGCGCTAACGGGATACGCTAGCGGAGCACCAGTGAAAGGTGATAGATGAGAATGAAAAACCATCATGGTTAGTTCTTGTAGAATTAACAACGGGTTGCTTTCATCTTCATCTGTCATCTCTCACTAGTGTACGCCGTGAGTATGCAGTGAGGGATGATAGGTGAGGATGAAATATAGATCAGGTAACCTATCGTGGTGAATCCACTTGGAATTTACCACAATAGTTTCCAGGGAGGACCGTGTGGAGATTGGATTGTTAATCCTTGTCACTAAAACCTTCCCCTCCACGCATGATAATGGTATCCCATCATTAATATCACTATATATCCTGTGATATCCATGGTTCATGTTTATAAGAGACGTCCTATTTTCCATCAGGTGGGCCGTCACCTTATTTCCCATTCTAAGACGTAAAAAAATAATGACACAACGTCGTAAGATAAACAAGTGAGCAATTAATGTAGATTAATTATGGCCTGTGTAAATAGAGGCCATTTAGGACACTTAAATTGTGCCATGTTGCTTTGGAAGCGAAAGTCATTAATTTTATATAGCACACAATCTTGTTTGCCTTTGTATAGAAACGTTATGGTCTCCTAATGGATTAATACTTTGCATATTTGTAGATTTTTACCTGTGTATCGAAGGATAGAGGATAAGGTTTTACGGGTTTATATATGTATGGTCCGGATTTTTGGCGTAACTTGAAGTCTAAATGGTTTGATGGATTTTTGTAAATACGATGTCGTAAGGGATGGAATTGTTATGAAATATATATTAATCTATTAGTTTTTACACTGACTTCGTTTAAGTTATGCAATGACGTTCGGCATACGTTTTGTTTCAATAAGTAAGTTCAAAATTATTTTTAACCGACTTCAAATAAGGAAGTTCTCAATTTATTTTTTCTTTCATATTTGTTATCTCATAACTCCGTCAGAAATTAACCGATTTTGAAAATTATTTTTTATTTTATATGAAATATATACTTTCACATTGGTTCCATAGTAATTTTATCAAAATCGGTTTAGTAGTTTAATTTTTAAAACAAAATAACTGATTTTGCCACAATTGAACTCAGTATATTGTTTGGAACATTAATTATTAAAAACCAATCTTAATAATAGCGTTTTTAGACTATAGATGTAGTATAACGTACCTTAAGACTCGTTATCAGACTCTGGACACCATACAGAGTTGTAATTTTTGTTAAAACATCAAACAAGTCCAAATACGACGAATTTATCATACGTCTTTCACGAGTATATATAGTCACCTTTCACCTTCATCATCAGATCAGCTCGATAATGCGACTTCATTGTCACCACACTTAAGTAAGAATGCCAAATTTCAGAAGAATCGAAAACTAGTAAATGATTAAATATTTTGACTTCTATTTTGATAAAACCAGTCATTTTTTATTTAAAAACTCGTCGAATGTAACTCCGTCAAGTTATGAGTGTAAAATACACGTAAAAAATATAAAAAAATACAACCGAATTCTTTTGAAACTTCTTTTTGAAGTCAAATGAAAATAATTTGATTATATATGAAAGAAAGTTTAATAAATGTAATTAAAATGGAATTATAACGTCGTCTGCATTATTAGTATATGGTGATGAGGTGTATAGTATGGTGTGGTTCCGGTGTAGAATAGGGTAACCCCTTCCTATTCCATAGGTGTTGTAAGAGTCGACTAAGGGAACTTAATGCTCGAGAGACGGGCAGCAGCGTTCACTTTAAAACATCACCAATGTCTAATTACGGTTAACTAACCCGCCTGCCAAGCGTGGCAACAACTGGCAACACCTCCCCCCACCTTCAATAGGAGACCAGTGTTTTTTTTAATGAAATGATAACCCCACTTGCGCTATCGGTATACACAGGCGGGGCACCAGTGAGGGATGATAAGTGAGGATGTAAAGGTTGGTCAATTAACACATCATGAGGAATTCAACGATAAATTAGTCACGATGGTTTCTAGGGGGAACCGCGTGGAGGTCGACCTGATTAACAACCCATCCCCCCCCCCCCCCCAAAAGCCTATGTTCAGCAGTGGACAATTAACGACTGATATAATAGGTGAGAATGAAGTCAACTGGTGTATCATGGTAAAATCACAAAAAAATTAACACAATGTTTACGCTCGAACTCGATTGTGTATAAGGCAATATATTTCATATTATAGAGTCGTAATTTTTACGTTATGAAATGAACGGGCGATTCTTTGTATATAATAAATAAACAAGACTTACAGTTTAGATACAGGGAGCTTCATAATTTCATAATGTTTATTATACCTACGTTATATACAATACAGTTGGGATCGACGGGCAAACGCTAACCAACTTTTGAATTCTGATAGAATACGGAAACGTAACCTTAAAATGTAACGTAGAAAGAAATATAACCAAGATATATATGACTAACTCTTTTTTGTAATTTCTTTTGTCGATTTTGATGATTCCTTTTGTCAACCTGCCTGACCTACAAAATATAGATGGTATATCTTACGACATTGCCTCGTACTTGCGAGTACCTTAGTTTCGTGAAGAATTGTTGAAGAAGATTGTTTTAAATTTAATTTTCAAATTTTTTCACTAATATTTGTCCGTATACAGGGCCGCCAGCACGGGACTTCTCTTTAGAAGTCCGCAGCGTAACGAACACTGCTGACTGCAAATCTCCAATGTGTTATGAATATAACATTCCTGGGGTAAGTATCTACGTATTACAACTTATATATTCTTTATTTCATTTGTGATATACTTACATTTAGTTATTTACACTATTGATAAATAAATGTGACACAAAAAGAAAGTGCATTGCTATGGCATTCTCTACGAGGCAACCTTCAGGATATGCAGAGATACTCAATGGCGGTCTAAAAAATTAATTATTTATATTTTAGTATAAGAAGATAAAATACATATATACAAACATTCATAAAATAAACATACATATATTAATATAGTATTTATGGATAAACATTTACAAATATTGTGAGCAAGCGTGGACTTATCTCTGAAAGAAATCTCTGCCACCTAACCCACTACCATTGTATTGGGTTGGCTGGAGAAAAGCGTGTTAGTAACGGGCAGCTAAAGAGTACGATTGCTGTATAAATAACATCTTCTAATTATCATACTATTAAATATATAAGCTACAGATGAACAGTTAAATGCTATAGAAAGAGAGGGAGACTTTGTACAAAAGTCGATTGCTTGGGTACCTCTGTCCCATTCGTGTTTCAACCGTGAAGCAGCTGTGTTTGCATGGCTGTGTTTCGATTTGAAGGGTGGGATATGGCGTGAATTTACAGGGTACAGAGGAACAACACCTGAGTCCTCAGGAATGGCAACGCATGGGGGGTATCATGGGCGAAACAGTATACTTTGTTATGTTCATGGTACTGCTCATGTCTATAGGCGACGGTTACCACTTTCCATCAGGTGGACCGTCAGCTTGTTTGCCATTCTAAATTGTATAAAAAAAAACATAAATACATAAATATAAAACCTATCTACTTATATATTAAACATTAAAATAAATGAATATAGTACCTACATTAGAAATTTAGTTCAATGATTTTGTGTGCATTTAAAGCGTTATCTTCACACCAATTCTGAACCGATTTTTATAATTCTTATTTTAAATAAATTGCATTTAGTTCAGTGTATTCTATATTAATTTAGTAACTATTGCTGTCATTTTTGGAAGTAAATTTATAATTAAATAATTAACTTAGCAAAATTTACAATTAAGTACTTTTTAGGGATAAATAAACATCCCCTACCTATGAGAGAGTATCTTTGAATAGTATAAAACAAAAGCTGCTTCCGTCTGTCTATTTCTATGCGTGCTTCTTCTTAACCACGCAATGGATTGTGACACAACTTTTACTATCATTTAAAGACTTTTTTTTTTTTATTTACGGAAGAATCTCAATAAAACTTTTGTATAAGCAAATAAATTTAATATTTTGTAATGAAGTCGACAAAAGTCAATTTTCACGGTTCACACTGACTAAATTCTAAGCGAAACGTCAAAATAATGTATCGCGTGTATCCGGGGCGGGTCGCTAGTTGAACATAAACAAAAAGATTTAATTGAACTTTTGTAATTTAACTTTTCAATCCTGTTGAAATTTCCTCCGACATTTTAGGGCCCATCCATATACAGTGTTTCGCTTTGAAAGGTATCCCGTGCCACCCTTGAAGTGTGGTATATGATGTTGGTGAAGTTAATTCTTTAAATAGATGTTATAACTTTAAATTACATATGGCAATTAAAGTTATTTTGGATAATTGTGGAAAAATATATATATAGCAACACTGATATTGTTTTGTCTTCCGTATTTGCCGTGTAATGGCGTCCTGCAGTAAACACTTGTAGTTGATTGATAATTGTAAACTGGCATACTTTTATCACTCCAATAGACCCTTAAAAATATCACTGCGCGTACAAATTATTAAACGAAATCCTAGTATATGGCAACAGAATTATAGAGTACAGAAACATAACATCTTATCCCCTTATTGTCTTTTTCTTTTAATTGAAATTCCCAATTTGAAAGAAAGGGACAAAACAATGTAATAGTTAAAATATATATCTAGAAGGTTTTAGTTTTTATGAATAAGAGGATTAGTTTAGAATGGCAACGCATAAAGGGTACTACAGTCATCACCGTATATACTGTGATATCCACAATGGTGTTTGTTTCTATAGACAACGATTACTATATCCCATCAGGTGGGCTGTCAGCTTGTTGCTTGTCAATCTACCCATATCTAGTTATCAGCTTTTGAATATAGACCTCCCCCTATTGGAGGTAGAAAGGGGTGTGACAGTAGTTGTCACACTTGGAAGGCTGGTCGACAATGCATTTAAGCCCTGCTGATGTTTTAAGAGGGACGTTGCTGCCCATCCCACGATCATTACGTTCCCTTGCTTGTCAATTCCCCTTGCATACTATGACAATATGATAAGCCATATAAATATGTTTTATTCTTCATAGTTTTCTCATATCGTTCATGATTTTATGACAGATTGTAATATGGTGGTTTATACCAGCGTTCACCATTCATGTTTTTTTTTTGTGGAATATAGATTGGTGAATAAACTGACAGCCTACTCTATAGAAAGTGGTGACCATCATCTATAAACATAAATAGGGCCATGGATATGAATGAAAAGGCTGTGTGACTTATGATACTTCCCAAATGTTGCCATTCTTGAGGATTAAAGTTTTTTTTAATAGATGGAAATGAAATGGTAACCCTACCTGTGCTATCAGTAATTAAAGCATAAGAGAGATATGATAGATGAAAGGATGAGAGAGGATAAGGTCAGCTCCATTGTTATGGGTTCAGCAAGAATTAATCACGATGGTTTTTAGTTGAGACCGCGTGGAAGTCGATAAATATAAAATGGATGATAGACTTCATTACTAACAATCCTTTACAACCTTAATTTTTTTGATTAAGATATTATGCTTCTGCACATTGTAATTTCTGCCATATCCCATCCTTCAAAGTCAAACCCAACCACGCCATCCACACAGAGTACAGCGATAACAGTGCAGAAGACCGAAAAAGAAGTACGAAGACTCTCCCTAACAAATCTGATCTTTTGTATTTTTGTAACAGAATGCAACGTGGTGGTTGGTGCCAGCGTTCACCAACCATGTGGCGGAGACGTGTGCTGTCCGACCCGGGTGCGCGTACAAAGTAGTGGTCACAGCCCACCCATGGGACGGACGGACTGTCGCTGACAAACTCATAGAGTTAGATGGTAAGACAGTATGTTTATTATTTTAACATATCGCCCAACTTTTTTTTGACAACACCGGGGGCAAACGAGCATGCGGCTTACCTGATGGTAAGGGATTACTGCCGCCCATGATCACTCACAATACCAATGGCAATGCAGGTGTGCTGTCAGCTTTTTAAAAGGAATATAACTTACTATGTAAAAACTGAGTAAGAATAGAAAATGTAGTCAATACTTTTCATCGTTTCAATCAAAGCATTTGGCGTTCCATTTTTTCTACCTACCCTAATGGGAGATAGGCGTGACAGATATATGTATGTACTTCTCGTCGCCGAATATTCTTTTGGATGTATGAAATTAGAATGGTTACCGTATTTTTGCTTAGGGATGATAAATAAAGATGAGATCAGTTGGTCCACAGTGACGAATTCACCAGGGATTAATGAAATTACTATGATAATTTTCGGGTGGGCATGGAGGGGGACCTGAGAGGATACATTACTAACAGCGGGGCCCTTATTTCCCGATACAAATATGTAATTAACTTCTTCTTATCAAGTATGTTTAGTCCTCAAAATTATTTATTAATTCAAAACCTATTTGGGGTAGATAAACATTCACCTAACAACTCACCCGATAGAGGGGGGAAAGGGATTGTTAGTAATGGGGTCAAATAGCCCTATTACTAGTAATGTACCTCGTCAGATCGACCTCCACGTGGTACCCCCTGGAAACCATTGTGGCTAATTCTAGTTGAATCCATCAGGATGAGTTAACTGACCTGCTTTCATCATCATCAGTCATCTATCAGGTGCCCCGCCAGTGTATACCGAGAACGCAGACGGGTTACCATACCATTATCACCCACAAAAACCCACCATATAGAAACCATCATCTAGAGACACGAACAACGCTATATAATAATAAACGCTGCAAATTATTAATTAATTATAAACAATAGCTATCTACCCCAAATAAACATTACCCGAAATGCAATAAGTGCCTAATTAAAATTTAATTTTGCTTTTCATTCAAGTCAAAGTAATTCAAGTCAGCGTTACGCCTTTGTCTCGGCTACATTATTTTCTTCTCAATAAAGAAAAGTGCTTTTAATATTATACAATAATATTTTGGAAGGTCAAAAAAAGACGAAGTGAACGTATTATTTTTATTTCATCTAGTTCTAAATCAAATCAAATTTAAGTCGAACCATTTTGAGTGTCTGCGATGTCAAATTGGATTTGTTCCCAGTGACTGAAACCTTGGGATAGGTATTCCTTTTGTATGAATATAAAATTCATACCATTTTTTTTTATACAACGTAGAATGGCAAACAAGCTGACGGCCCACCTGACGGAAAGTGGTAACCGTCGCTTATAGACATGAGCAGTAGTATGGACATAACAGAGTATACTGTTTCGCTCATGATATCCCCCATACGTTGCTATTCCTGAGGACTCAGGTATTATTCCTCTGTACTCAGTAAATTCACGCCATATCTCACCCTTCAAACCGAAACACAGCTATGCAAACACAACTGCTTCACGGTTGAAACACGAATAGGACAGAGGTACCCAAGCAATCGACTTTTGTACAAAGTTTCCCTCTGGTAAATTAATAGGAAAGTAAATACGTATAGGTAAATATATTTTAGTGTGGGTCAGAATAAGTGTTTACTTGGTTACGTCTATTTTCCAACATATTCGGATCTTTATTATTTACGCAGAAGAGTATTCTATCTACTCCACAAGAGACTTACCGTGAAGATAGGTCTACATGTGCTAATAGAGTAAAAGAATATAGTATATCACCACTTCTTTTTCTCTCTACGACATCTTAATTCTTAGTATATTGTGTCAAAAACAAAATTTGACATAAAATCCTGTAACAAGCTACCTGGCCATTATGGTAATAATGTCCAGCTGTGGGACATTATAAGCAGTTAAAATATACCTACATCATGTATGCAAATATATATATATGTTTGAATGTCTAATGTGAAGTTTAAAATCTCTTGGTGATTTAGCGATTCGAACAATCTTCAGAAAATTTGGCATAAGTATAATATTTTGTATCCAGAAGGACATACAAATAGACAAGATAGCATTATTCTTTGAATTATACATCATTAATATCCTCTTGAGATAGTCTTCTACTGGTGAAACTAAACATTATTCCAAAGAAACGTAGATCTGAGATATAAGGCGCCAATAGTATATATTTTCGTTAACAACGGAAGTCTTATTTTTGGAACACACTATACATACACGTATATACCAAATAGTAAAGTAACAATATATAATAATAATAATTATATCCAATAAGAAAACAAATTTGATTTATACCTATATTATCATACCATATCAACCAGTAATTGTTCTCTCTTGAACATAGGCCTCCCCCATAAGGGGAGTTTTGTCAGTAATTGCCATGCTTAGTTGGCAACCGCGGTCTTTTTTTAATGGACGATAATGGAATGGCAACCCTGTCTGTGCTAACGGTATACGCTGAAGGGGTACCAGTGACGGATGACAGGTAAGAATAAAAAGGCAGGTCTGGATAAGCTAATTGCTTATCGTGATGAATACATCTGGGATTCAGCACGATGGTTTTCAGGAGGACCATGTGGACGTTGACCTGGCAGGGTATATTAATAGCATTGGGACTAATTCGCATTACTAACAATCCCCTCCCCCCTGGCCTACGCGGTTAGGCTTTGGTGACGTTAAAAGAGAAACGCTGCTGCCTATCCCTCGACCGTTAAATTCTTTTTTAAACACCCACGGGAAAGGAAGTGGTAGCCTATTCTATCTGGACTACATAGCAAACCTATATAAATTAGGAGGGAAAAGGATTGTTAGTAATGGAGACTGAGAATTCCATTGCTAGCAATATATCCAACCAGGTCCACCTCCTCGTTGTTCTCCCTGGAAACTATCATGGTTAATTCCTGATGAATTCATCATGATGGGCTAACTGACCTGTTTTCATTCTCATCTATCACCCATCACTGGTGCTCCGCCAGCGTATCCTGTTAGCGCAGGAGGGGTTACCATACCATTTTCACCCATCCAAAAAAAATCTATATAAATTAATAATAATTATATTCTATTAATTTATTCTATTAGTGTTTACCTATTCATTGAAAAGTCTGTACCGCCAAGAGTAGCGCCGCAATTTGTAAACAAACAACAATACACTCTTGATGAGACCTGCAATAACAAACGACACGAAACAAACTATTGTGTAGTGTGGTGTGTGTGTGTGTGTGTGTATATATACATGTCACAAACATTGATAATTTTATTGTTTTCTTATTATCATATAGTGCCTTAATAAATCGTTACAAAATTTGATACATATGTACTATATTAGATAGAGAAGAAGATGGGTCTCTTTTTATCCTGGCCATGTGGACAAAGTCGCTGGTAAAAACCAGTTTATTATAAATTATTCATAGTTCTAAAAATGCTTGAAAATTAATAGAATATTCAAATTAAGAATTATCATTTGACAATTTATTCTACGTACAAAAAACAGCAGCTTGGTGATAGTGCTAAGGTGCTGAAAAATAAGTTCTTAATCTTAGGTACATGTTTAATATCAAATGAAACAAAACAAACTATTGTATTTTAATTAATTTATTATAAATTATTTATAGTACCGAAAGGCTCGAGATCATTTTAAAAATCGAATTTGGAATTTAAAAATAGCAATAACCTATATTCAAATTAACTTAATCACAAGCATTTTTAATTGCATATTTTTGTGTCTACGTCGAATTTTCAAAATGTTGTTATCTGTTGAAAAGAACCCGCAAGAAACTCAATATTTTTAATGATGTGTTTTACCTATAATTAATTAATTACATATAATGTTAAAATATAAATAAATATTGTAACTGACGACATACGCCGGGCTATGGACAACCACTCCCTCACACTTCTTGTTCTCCTAGACTTTAGCAGTGCCTTTAACTCTGTAGATTATGATATTCTTTTAAATATCCTTTCATCCCTTAACATATCTCCACCTGTAATCAATTGGTTTAACTTTTCTTCGGGGTCGAATGTGTTCGCCATTAGGATACCTCAGATTGAAAAAAAAGGCCTCCTCTTCTTTTCTCTGCATTTATCAATGAAACTCAAATTTTTTCTTCCTATCTCTACGCAGACGATTTGCAATTATATTTTCATTTTAATCTTTGACATATCTGAAGCAATTGATGATTTTTTCAGCTGCTAAAATATCGGAATGGGCTAATCCTTTGGGCTTCTAGTTAACCCGCGAAAATCCGAAGCTCTCATTATAGGTAGTCATCGTAATTATAAAATGCTTGATCATGATGCTTTGCCTCCTGTTTACTATGAAAATGAGTTAATTGCATATGCTAAGAAAGCAAAAAACCTGGGTGTTATAATTGACTGCAATTTATCCTGGAATGAACACATTAATGGGGTCAGCAAAAAGCTATGTTTTTCATTTCATTCTTTTAAACGATTGCATCTCTTACCATTTAAGACAAGGCTTACTTTGGCACAAGCTCTACTGTTATCTCTTCTTGATTATGCCGACATATCCTACCTTGATGCAACTGAAGAGCTTTTAAACAAATAAGAGAGATTACAGAATTTGTGTATACATATATGGTCTGCGTAAATATGATCATGTCTCCGCTTATAGAACAAAATTGAATTGGCTGCCAATTCGAAGGCGTCGAGACTTTCATATAATGTCGTTTTTATATTCCGTTCTATATAACCCTACTTTTCCCTCCTATCTTCGTGAACGTTTTGATTTTCTAGTTCCCCATGACGTGTCCTCCCGTTCGACGAAATCTCTTATCCTCAAACTCCCTTCACACTCATCTACGCGCTATAGTGGATCTTTTACCGTCCATGCTGCTAGATTGTGGAATTCTCTTCCCATATCTATCCGTGAGAGTCAATCCCTAAATATTTTTAAGAGTAGACTTAAAGAGCATCTTCTATCTCTATGAACATATATTTATTTATCTATATGTGTAGGTATATTGTATGTATATGTGTATGTATATGTAGGTTTATGCAAGATGATATATTTATGTATATGTATGTGTGTATTTGTACTATATAATATAATCTAATTAATTTAATTTTGGCTATTTAAAAATTGTACACTGCTGTATCCGCTGACATTGATGCTCCTTTCCACTTTGGGTTTGCTGGAAGAAAACTCTATCAGAGTTAAGCTCGCCTTTGTACTTTTGTTTACCTCTGTCATATTTTTATAACTAATGTGTACAATAAAGTATTAAATAAATAAATAAATAAAATAAAATCAGCAACATTCGTCGAGACAACTTTTATATGAAACCACAACGAAAATAGAAGAAAATTGAGATATCTCTTTTAAAGTCTTTGAATAAGTACTGGTCTATCATATATCATCATATCAGCCGTTAACTGCCCACTGTTGAACATAGGCCTCTTCTATAAAGGGTGGTTTTGCCAGTAGTTGCCACGCTTGGCAGGCGGGTTGGCAACCGCAATTAGGCTTTAGTTATGTTTTAAGATGGATGCTGCTGCCCATTCTTTGACTATTAATTTCCCTTAGTCACCTCTTACGACACCCAAGGGAAAGGAAGGTTTTTTTTTAAATGTAAACCCGACTCCGACTTTTGAAAGATTATAGATTAAAATGAAAGCAGATCTTTTCTTTTTTAATGGATGATAATGGAATGGTAACACCGCCTACGCTAATGGTATACGCTGGCGGGGCACCAGTGAGAGATGATAGGTGAGGATGAAAAGGCAGGTTACTTAGCCCATCGTGATGAATTGGAATTCAGGACGATAATTTCCAGGGGGGACCACGGGGAGGTCGACCTATTAGAGTATATTGTTAGCAATGAGACTGATAATCTGCATTACTAACAATCCCTTTCTTCCCAATGAAAGCAGGTCAGTTGGCCTACCATACAAGAATTAACCATAATGGTTTCAAAAGGAAACCATGTGGAGGTTATCTTGAGAGGGTATATTGCTAGCAATAGGGCTATCAGATCTCGTTACTAACAATCCCTTTTCCCCAAAGGGAGGGTCTTTACGTAAGTACAGTCTATACTCTTGAAAATATCTATATCATAAATATTATTTAAGAAATTGCCAATAATGTTAAAAGAGGTTTCGTGAAAAGCGATCCATAATCATTATCAACTGAGCTAAAACTTTGCTGAAACTCTATTGATTTGTGTGTAGGCAGATAACTCTGATTTAAGTACACATAAACTGAATCGTGTTATCCATAACTAGTTTTGACTTACGACTTCGTCTGTATGAATGGGATATGTTGATTAAACTGATTAAGAAGTAGTCTATGTCCTCCATCACAAATACTATGTATGTACAAAATTTTACGACGATTGGTTAAGCTGTTACTACGTCAAGAGGTTATATATAAACTCACTTTTACATTTACAATATAACTATTTTTTGTTATATATTGTTTTATTATACGTGTCCTATACAAAATCAACCAATATATTTTTCCAATCCAAATATTTATATATTTACAACTACTCGCAGTTGGACTGTCTCTAGCATTTCTCGCTGATTCATCTATTCGCGTAACACACTCACGACATATTTTACTATACTATATATAGACCGAATTCTTTGACAATTGGTTGTCGCCAATATGTAACTAACAAATCAATGTAACAAACAAACACAGTTTACAATGTTGGTAAGGAAGTAAAGATTATTGTATAGATTGTCTGCGATAACATGGATCACCCTCCAAAATCCAAGGATTAAAAATGTGTGAGTCAAAATTAATACAAAGTTTCGACTAAGTACTATAATACTCCTTTGGTCGGATTGTTACTTAAGACGTTTCCTTACACACACAAACAAAGCACCAGTGTATGTATATGATCATTATCAAATCAGCCGGTTTACTGACCACTGCTGGAAGGAGGGATTACAAATAGCACAAACTACCAAACCCATTGCTAGAAATATACCCTGCTAGGTCGACCTCGACGTGGTCCCCCTTGGAAACCATCGCACCAAATCCTAGGTATATTCATCACGATGGGCTAACTGACTTGCCTTTTTAGTCTCACTTGTCATTCCTGATGTCCTATCTATCTATCTGTTAGCGCGGACGGAGTTGCCATTCCATTATCATCCATTAAAAAAAATTTCCATTGCTGAACATAGGGCTTCCACTATTGGGGGTTTTACAAGTAGTTGTCACGCTTGGCAGGTGGGCTGGTAACACCACTTAGGATATGATGATTTTTTTTATAAAACTTAGAATGGCAAACAAGCTGACGGCCCACCTGATGGGAAGTGGTAACCGTCGACTATAGACATAAGCAGTTGTATGGACATAACTGAGTAGTACATACTGTTTCGCCCATGATACCCCCCATGCATTGCCATTCCTGAGGACTCAGGTGTCATTCCTCTGTATATGTTTTAATAGGGACGTTGTTACCCTCCTCCTCATCCTCGACCATTAAGTTCCATTAGTCGCCTCTTACAACACCCCCGGGAAAGGAAGGGGCAGTTCATTCTACGCTGGGACACGGCTAATGTCTCTATATGGTCACACACCTTGAAGTAAATAATTGTAGGAGCGTGACATATTAACATTGACAATCTATCCCAATTATTATTTGGGGTTGACATAATATGGTTTTATCCATATTACAAAAAGATTTGGCTTATAGTTTTACGACCAGCCGCCTGCCTGACGTCAACCCTCTTTGGGAATGTATTTGTTGGTGGTTTCCGCCACCTACAAAAAAAGGAAGGGAACGTTGGAAATGCGTAAAAGGAATTAGTAAATAAAAGGTACAAGGGACTTATGTGGGAAAGGAAAGGGCACTGCAGTTGCGGAAAAGACTGGGACACTGCAGCGGCTCCGGAGGCCGAGTTCGTATACCCGTATGCCCTTGTTCTAGAATCGGACAGATTTCTCGAGAAGAACACCCCTGACGCCTTAACATTGACAATCTGTAACATAATAAATTATATTTTAATGAACAATTAAATCTTATCCCTTTATTGTAAATTTAGAAATAAATTCAATATAAGACAATGATATTATTCACCTTTCATACGTTTTGTTTGATGCTGGAAAGTCAAATTCAATAGAACAGAAATGATGCCAAAGACATTCGAAACAATTTCCGGCAATTCAAAATACATACTCGTACTTATCAGTCATGATATAAATAAACATATGTATATAGATTAAAACTAGTTGTAATTCGCGAATTTGCCTATTTAGAATAATATAAACAATTATATTTGCTAGAATAAACAGATATATTCGCATAGCTCTTTTTTATTAGATGATAATGGAATGGCAACCCCGCCTACGCTATCGGTATACGCTGGCAAGGCACTAGTGAGGGAAGATAGATAGGCGTGAAAGCGGGTTACCAGAGGGAGATTTTGTACAAAAAGCGTTTGATTGTGTACCTCTGTCCCATTCGTGTTTTTACCGTGAAGCAGTTATGTTTGCAAAGCTGTATTTCAGTTTGAAGGGTGGGATATGGCAATGAATTTACAGGGCACAGAGGAATAATACCTAAGTCTTCCAGAATAGTAACGCATAGGGGATATCATGAGCGAAACAGTAAACTCTGTTATGTCCATGCTCATGTCTATAGGCGACGATTACCACTTTCCACCAGGCGGCCCGTCAGCTTTTTTGCCATTCTAAGTTTCATAAAAAAAGGTTGATAAGCCCATGGTGACGAACTTAACGAAAATTAATCGCGTTGGTTTCCAAGGGGGTCTCCATTATTAATAATTCCCTTTCCCCAGATCGCATAGCTATGTTTCTGTTTGAAAGGTGGGATATAGATAAATTACAAAATATGGATAAATAACACCCCAAATGCCATATAGTCCTGAGATAGAATGGGCCACCCCTTCGTTTCTCATAGATATCGTAATAGTCGTAAAGGAACTTAATAGCCGAAGAATGGACAGCAGCGCATGTTTTAAAACAGCAACAAAACCCTGAGGTTGCTAAATCGCCTGCCAAGCATGGCATTTACTGGCAAAATTCCCACAATGATAAACTGCCATAAGAAATTGTCTTGTTCCTTATGACACAGTCTATGGAGGAGGCCTATGTTCAGCAGTGGACAGGTAACAGCTGATAAGATGATAATCGTGGTTTGATATATAGTATGACTCTACGTCTACCTTCTCTTGTAGTAATAACAATGTATAGATATCACAAATGGTGAATTCAATTCCATAGAATGCGAGGCGGGTGTATGCTCATGCGCCTATTCTCCTCGCCTCCCGGCGCCAATTGTGACAGCTCAGACCATAACGCAAGATGGCGAACTAGTTGCCAATATCAGCTGGACTCTGCCGGAGCCGAGTTTCCCACAACGCCTACCGCGTGGGTTGCAAAAGAAGAATTATTTTGTCAGGTTAGTAGAAAGTAATCTTTAATCTTATGGTAATAGTGTTCATACTTCAGCTTACCGATGTATAGTAATGTAGTAAATATTCAATTTTCAAAAAGAATTTAACAATTTTCAATGTTTCCTATTGATTATTTAAAAAAAATCTATTCTGTTGGCAAATTAAAACGTTTATCAAGCTGTCACTAAGAATTTGGAATTTGATAACGAAATGGTATTTGTAAAATTTCAAAGCAAAATAGATATAAATTACGAGTAGATACAATATGCAAAGTTTTAGTGGTACAATTATATGTAAATTATTTCATGATTAATGTTTTAGTTTGTTAGTAGAGCATTTTTTAAATTAATATTGTTATTTTAACCGTTAACTGTCCATTGCTGAACATAAGCCTTCCCCATAAAGGGAGTTCTGCCAGTAGTAGCCACGCTTGGCAGGCGGGTTAGCAACCGCAGTTAGGCTTTTAGAGATGTTTTAACTGGGACGCTGCTGCCCATCCCTCCACTATAAGCTAACTCAGTCGCCTCTTACGACATCCACGGGAAAGGAAGGGGCGGTCCATTCTATGCCGGGACCAACATGGCAAACTAATAATATGGCAAAAAATAATCAACAAAATTTTTTAAAATTGGTCAACAGTTTTGGAAATTGTCAGATAATTGTGTCATTGCCATAATTCAGTCAAAGATTTTGTTATTCCTTGTTCTTAGAGATCGGTAAGCTGAAGTATAAACGCTCTCAAATCAACACACATTCATTCATTCTTAAATAAAGACACACCAAATAAAAATGTAATAATAATATATTTTTTCATACAATGTAAAATTGAAATCATTAGCATCTTTTTAATGAAGGATTCTGTCCTAATAAAACGATACATTTTTTCAAAGAATTATTAATTTAAAAATATTATATTTTACCGCCTATATTAACTTGACAATGGAACGCACCATACTAGTATAGAAAATCCAAAATTATTTCTCTTCTAACATCTTACATTACAGTGTGAGGTTTTTCAGACAGGGTATATTAAAGTTTCTTCAAGGTCGGCAACGCGCACGTGACACCCCTAGCGTTACAGGCATCCAAAGGCTACAGCGACTGTTTACCATCAGACAGGCTGTATGCTTGTTTTGTACTTTCGTGGTATAAAAAAAAGACAATAACAACAGCACCACGGACATCACAGAATATCCCATTTTTCTAAAATATAACTATGCAAGTACAGTCGCTTAACAACACAAACAAATGTATAGCAGATATAAATTTAGACGACTGTACCAAGACTCTCTCTGATAAATTGGACACTATTTTTATGTTTAATCAATTGCTATTTTTGATGTCATTATCTATGTTGTTTTATTGAAACATAATAAAACGAAACTTTATTTTTTTTTAACAGTATAGGTAAACAAATGGTAACAGATGCACATCCTTCGCCATGGTTTGCGAATACCATTACACAAAGAGTCGACACAAGCGGCCCAGTGGCGACTGGGGAGAGTTCGCGGTGGCTTCTGTTACACATTGTCGAGCGAAGCGGAGAGCGACAGGACCAGACTAAAATGTTGGACGTCAAGTTACTTGCACGAGTCAACTTGATCGACGAACGAGGATGCATTGGGCCTGCTGGAAATGCTACTGCTTATGGTAATTTCCTTTAATATTGTAACTAATATTATTAATACGAAAATAAATTTGTTTATTGCCTCTTGGATTTTTAACGGCTGAATCAATAAAAATTAGAATACATGTAATAATTGGACTGGAAATGGATGTAATCCACTTTTTATTCCGGTCCATTAAGGCTTCTAGGTCAATTGTTCCGTATAGGTAGGTAATAGCTAAGATATTCCGGTTTTGTAAAAATAATAAATACATAAAGCTGGTATGAACATTTTTATATATGATAAAAAGGAGACATCGAAATATATTTTTGCCACATTATTATTGTTTATGGCAATGACTACTTGGTCGTGAATTAAATAGAAAAAAATAACTGAAATTTAGCGATTTTTTCTTTATAAATAAGCTCTTATAATTTAAGCTTTCTCCACGATTTTGTTGTTTCTTTATCTCAAGTCGTTGTTGACACAAAAGGCTGTTTATTCGATTTTTAACCTATTTTTCCAGAGGGCCTCACTTCAAATAATGCGGTAGATAATAGGAATATTTACAGCTCAAAATACTTTCTAGAGTACATTCAAAAGAACATCAAATTAATACAAATTATAAGTATCTGAATGTATTACAAAAATAGCATATAGCTTTGAAAAAGTTTCTAAATTAACTTTATAAAAAGTAAATGTTCAATTAAATAAATTAGATAGGTATTTTCCTTATGAACATTTTTATTTGATTATTATAGATTCTTTCTTCTATAATTTCTAATTTGATGTGTTGAATATTATTTCTTTTTCGTGTAATTGTAAGTGCGTAATACTAAAAAAATATATATATTGTTTCAGATCCAGATGAAATGAACAAAATTCCTTATGAAAATTATGTAAGTATATATTTGTATTTATTTTAATAATTTTCTTTTTTGAGATTAACATTGCTCAATAATGTACAAGTGTGGTAAGATTAAATATATAAAATTGATGTATGCATTTTGATGCATATAATTAAGAAATATTTTTCCATATTCATATATATTTAAAGTATATATAAAAATGAACTAAGTTTTAATGGAATTTATTTATACCGTTTTGTTATTCAATAACGCATAAACAATAATTTTGATAATTATTTCCAAAATTCATAATGTTTAAAGTATGTTGTATATATTAATCTCACCAGAGAAACTGAGTAAGACGAATAAGAGAATGAAGTGCACTAGTGCAAGAGAATTTAATTTGATAGTATGTTATGCCACCCAGGCGGTTAATCCAAATTACAAATAATACTTCACCAACTTGTTACAAAATACAAAGTAAATTCTATGCATCTTGTTTCAGATAATATGGGCTCTTTTAGGTGGATTATGTGTTCTAGCAATGGTTGCAATATTAGCAGTCAGCGCGCGAGCCGTCAAAAGAATACTGAGCGCACTCCGTCCGCCGCCCGCGTCCGCTCCTCTCGAGCCACTGCGTCGTCGCCCGGCCTGGTTGCCTCTACGGCTGCGTACGTAAGTACATAGACTTTAAGTACATTTTTGAGAAAAAAGTTTTCTTAAGAATTTTTTTTAATAATAAATATTTTTAAGAAGTATTCAACGGCTGTTTTTTCTAGCCGTAACGCAACGGTGAGCCAATTAAATCCGTTTATAAACTATAAGCATTCTAAACTTTTTTTAAGCAAATAAAAGGTTTAACAAGAAGTTTTTAACAGTTGTTTTTGCAAGAACTATTTGATTTAATTTTTTAATATCATATATTACGGTCTACAGCAAATGGTTCATCTCAGTTATAAACTGCATTTTATTTATTCCACTTAATTCAGTTTTCTTAATCTTGTTAATAAATGAACCAACGATTCAAAGAAACGATCAGAAAAATCTATACGGACTTAATAAGGTTTTGAACTTTTGATGGCAACAAACGAAAAATGACGTAGGTACTCGTATGTGGTTATTTATTTAAGCCGAACGATGACCGAACAATATTTAACAAAATATTTACTTTAATGTATATAAATAAAAAAGAAATGTTGTCTTTGGTAAAGGCATCATATGAAAACGATTGGGACAATTTGGTAATTATTTTTTATTTAATAGTATTTCGATTAAGATTTTCAGAGAAAAAGCCGTTATCGAGTCAACTAGGAATATTATAAAGTCGAAAAATATATGTTTAGAAATTTACATCGTAAATATTGAAAAAATATAATTTTTAATATTTGCGTCCCTTTTCTCTCTTTATATCTATATTATAATTGTTAATATTTATAGTAGAGGACCCTTGCGTCTAATATTACTCTTCCGTAGCACCAGATTTTTTTTTATGGGTAAAAATGGTATGATAACCCCGCCTACGGGATACGCTGGCGGAGCACCAGTAAAGGGTGATAGATGAGAATGAAAACAGACCAGTTAGCCCATCATGATGAATTCATCAGGAATTAACCATGATAGTTTACAGGGAGAACCTCGAGGAGGTCGACCTGGTTGGGTATATTGCTAGCAATGGGATTCTCAGTCTCCATTACTAACAATCCCTTTCCCCTCCGTAACACAAGAATTTGGTTTAATACTTGTTTAAATACGAATAAATATATTTCCTCTTAGAGATTCATTTCACTAATCAGCTCAAAGAGATATAGGGAAAGCGAAAAAAATAAATTACCATTTAGAGAGTTTACGTAGCTATATGGGAAAATAATTTCTAAGTCTAGTAAGCAGTGGTAATAAATAAGAAATATTCCTAATTACATTTTACTATATTTTCACTTTACTTTTTGCTATAAATATATTTCATATTCTGTATCTAAGCGGCGAATTATCATTTTACTCTTATTGAAATTTCCTGGATTAAGCTAAGTAGGCACCTAAAAACTTCACAAAGTCAAATGTTCTAAATTATCTTTATATGATTTTTTGTATATGTTACGATATCTTTTCTCCAATTATGGATGGATTTTGATAATTTTTAATTTATAATATTTATGTAATAATTTTGTTATAATTAAGATTGAAGCTTTTTTTGGAAAAAGTCTTAAATTATTCTGTTTAAAGTACGAGATATCTAATTATTATTTATTTACTTTGTTTGCGTGGATTATATAATTCACGTTTCAAATTAATGTAGATTAAGTCATGGGTAAAATCAGATTGATGAAGAAAATTGCAGTATGTGCTCGTGTAATCAATGTTTCGTTGGTTACATCGTACCTATGTCTTACGAGGTTTCTTAGGGTATAAGACTGGAAGATCCAATTACGAAAAAGATATTTTTTCTATACTAATGTAATCTAATATAAATAAATGAAACAAGAGATGTATCTCTCGTTTCATTTATTTACATAATAAACGTATACATAATTATCCAATAATGTAAATAAATAAAACAATAGATGTATCTCTTGTTTCATTTATTTACATTTTTAATATATTTTTTTAATACAACGATATCATTAGTGTACAGTGTGTCATCATTAGCATCCTACCGGTGATATATAAAATGATTTTCATTAAAGAAATAAGGGTCGAAGCAATAACAAATAAATGTAAGCCTACCACATTTACACAGCTTAATTTTTTTTTAATAATTATATTCTGTAATACAGCCTGATTTTTAGTTTTGTACATACTGATTTAAATTTTATATATACACATAAACTATAATTTAATTATAAATTAATACACCAAAATTATGTAATTGTTAGTTAAACTTGAACACTCGACCATTTATTATGCTTTATATTTTAATTAATCTGTTATAAAAAAAAAACTTAATACAACCTTAACTCAACCCGACGAATTTCTATTAAATTTACCTTTCACTCAATTATACCCGGCAAATAATTAATTAAAGACTACTTTTACTAAGCACGTAAAATTAATCTGCAAGCTTTTAAAAGCTCTCCAATAGTTCAAAACTAATTTCGAATGGATTTATTGTTTAGAAGACTCTTTAAAATTTAGAGGTCAAGTTGGATTCAATATTCTACGCCCAGTGAAATATAGGGTGAATTAAAAATAATAAATTTTAAGGCAGGGGAACTGACGTTTCTATTAAAGAAAAGTGGCCCGAAAATAGATGAAAATGTCGACCCTCCCATACGGAACACTCCTTTAAAAAATATGTTTATTTTTAAATTCTATATTCAAATTGTCAAATTCAAATTTAAATCATCTTTATTCAAATAGACTTGTTTATAAGCACTTTTAAATCGTCATTTTTTATAAATGCTACGGCAGGGTTCGGAATATTATTATTGCTGTGTATATCCGTTTTTTTTTTTACTAGTCATAAAGAGTTTTGAGTGAATTTTGAAACGTTGATAATCAGAAGGAAATTATAATGGTCATTTGCTTGGGTATTCCTGTTCTGTATGAGATTGCTGATCCTCACAACTAAAAATGCCTTCCCTCATGTTCCTCCTGCAGTTTATATTAGACGGTCACCACTTCGCATTAGGTGAACCGTCATCAAGCTCATGTATCCGATCGGTCCATAATGTATTATTTTGACAAAATATTTTCGTGAACTGTACAACATTAATTTTTTGTTTCGTTGCTCCGTCTATACTGAATTTTAAATTCACTTTGATCATCGCCGTAGCTAGGGGGGTAGTGAGGGGCAATGCCCTACCTTTACAGTCCCAATGCCCTACCTTAAAAGCCCCCAAGAAAACTACACAGATTCGCTTTTTCGAAGTCACTTAATTATGGTTTCTGCCCTATCAAAAAGTTCTTTTGCCCTACTTTAAACTGGAGCTTTTTAATGGGTGATAATGGTATGGTAACTCTGTCTGTGCTATCGGTATACATTGGCAGGGCACCAGTGATAGATGACTAATGAGGATGAAAGCGGGTCAGTAGGTAGGCTAGTACTAGATAGGCTATATCCTGACGAATTCAACTAGAATTAACCGCAATGATTTCTAGGGGGAACCACGTGGAGATCGACCTGACAGGGTAGGAATGGGGCTATTTGACCCCATTACTAACAATCCCTTTCCCCCCTAAACTGGGGTTTAGCTACAGTCCTTATTTAGATATATTATTAGTACTGTTATAAAATCATAACTTTTCTCCGTGTATCTTTGTTTGAGGCTGGTTTAAGACATTTTTAACTTTCATTTTAGTCTTGGTACATTGATCTCACTAAACCAATTGAAGTACATTATTATTATTTTTTATATATTTATATAACATATTATTATTCTCGTGTGGTCCCAGCATAGAATAAGCCACCCCTTCCTTTCCCGTGGGTGTCATAAAAAGCGACTAAGAGAGAGCCAACGATGGGCAGCAGCATCCCTCTTAAAACATCTCTAAAACCAAACTGAGGTTGCCAATCCGCCTGCCAAGCGTGCGACTACTGGGAAAACCCCCCTAATGGGAGGCTTATCTTTAGCAATGGACATTTAAAAGTTGATATGATGCATAAAATAATTTACTACCATGAAAATTAAATTTTAATAAAGTTTTAAACAGCGCCTGATTTATCCGTAATAGCAATTCATTAAGGCCACATTTTCCTCTTTGATGAACAAGTGAATGAGCAAGTCGGAAAAATAAATAATCTTGCTATATTCATATACAAGCTCCCAATCGCAACTTCGTCCAGGCGACCTGGATACGTTGATTGCCCGGGATAAATATTGGCCTATGTCCGTCTTCATTCCAAATTACTATTTAGCAGAATTGTACAAAATACATGCTTGGCTTTAATTAAAATACGAATTACAAAATATTATCTCATGTGTTAAATACATATAATAATAATAGATCCAAATACAATATTTTCACTTTTTTTTATTTAAAATACAAGTTACAAAATACAGTCAGGTATTTTTTTTTAATGGATAATGGCACACTGGCGGGCCACTAGTGACTAATGATAGGTTTCATCACTTAGAATTCAGCACAATGGTTTCCAGGGGGAACCACGTGGAGGTCAACCTGGTTGGGTATATTGATAACAATGGGGCCCTTAGTCTCCATTGTTAACAATCCCTCCCTCCCTGCAGTCAGGTATTTATTTTTATGGGTGAAAATGGTATGGTAACCCCGCCTGCGATAACGGGATACGCTGGTGGAGTACCAGTGAAGGGTGATTGATGAAAATGAAAACAGGTCAGTTAGCCCATCATGATGAATCCATCAGGAATTAAACATGATAGTTAGGTATATTGTTAGCAATGGGATTCTCAGTCTCCATTACTAACAATCCCTTTCCCCCCTGCAGTCAGATATTAGGTAAATGTAGATAGATTAGAAATAATTCAGACCAGTCTAGCAATCAGTAAAAGAATAATTCCCTTTCATTAACATGAAAGCTATCTAAAGATATTTTCTAGAGAACACACCCACTAATAAGATGATTAAATGAAGGCTAAATGTATTTGTATTTAAATGTATTTTAAATACTAACTACAAAATAGCTCAGTGTAGGTATTTAAAATACGAATGTCTAATTTTAGATAGTAATACTAAATAGATATATATTTGTATTCCAATTA